CTGATTTCTCCTCCTCAGGTTTTCTGATGGATCCTCCGAGTGACAACGGCATGGAGCCGCCCCTGAGCCAGGAGACCTTCGAGGACCTCTGGAGTCTGTAAGTGTCACCCCGCCCCCCAGGAGGCGGAGTCTCGTACCCCCTTCTATGTATCACCCCCCAAGAGGCGGAGACTCGTACCCCCTTCTATGTATCACCCTGCAGGAGGAGGAGACTCATAGCTCCCTTCTATGTATCACCCCCCAAGAGGCGGAGACTCGTACCCCCTTCTATGTATCACCCTGCAGGAGGAGGAGACTCATAGCCCCCTTCTATGTATCACCCTGCAGGGGGAGGGGACTCATAGCCCCCTTCTAGGTATCACCCCGCAAGAGGCGGAGACTCGTACCCCCTTCTATGTGTCACCCTGCAGGAGGAGGAGACTCATACCCCCTTCTGTCTGTATCACCCTATAGTGGGAGTGACAGTGCTGTGACACCCTGGAAGGGGCGGGGCTTTGTACTGCGTTGCTCTCATTATGTTTCTCTGTTCTCTTCCAGTTTGCCCGCCATTCAGTCCGTTAATTGCCCTGAAGAGGGATTTGGAGTAAGTGATCCCTGTGTGTTCTCAGGTGTCTGGTGCCATGTATGGGGTTTCCTGGGTGGTACTTGGGGGGGGGGGGGGGGGTCGCAATTTTCTTGAAAAAAAAATACACGCATTGTTCTCGTCCCGATTGTCGCCCTCTTCTCCTCCTCCATTTCAGGACTTGGTTTATCCCCTTCCCCCGACCATGGTGACCCTGCCGGAGGGCGGGATCAGCGGTACATTCGGCGCTCCGGCATCAACTGCCGTCCCCTCCACCGAGGATTACCCGGGGCGGCACGCGCTGCAGCTGGACTTCGAGCAGAATGGGACCGCCAAGTCTGTCACCTGTACAGTAAGTGTGTGCGAGGGACGGGCCCCGGGGGTGTGAGAGGGACGGGCCCCGGGGGAGTGTGAGAGATAAGGACGGGCCCCAATGGTAGTGTGACCAGGGTGTCAGGGACCGGCCCCGTCCTGAACATGTCCAGACTAGTCGGTCGGCCCGTTCTCTGCAGCTCCTCCTCACTGATCACAGACATGAGACATCTGCAGCACCTTCCAAGATCGGGGCCCAGCGTCACCCTCCCGGGGCCCGGACTGACACCCCAACAATCAAGACAATGAGGAGTGATGTTCTGCAGTACCTCATCAGGAAACAATGTTCTGCAGCTCTCCTCAAGCTGGACGGAAACTGAGTGGGAGGGGGGGACGTGACCCCTGTGTGAGGGGAGCTGTGACTGGAGGGGTCCCTGTGTG